ATAATAAATATTCTTTTTCTTTTTGTTTCTTTAAATTAAATAGTATTAATTAAAAATATATAGAAAATTAATTTGTAAATAATTATAAAAATGAACGATTGTTAATTATAATCTGAATGATTTTCTTTTGCAGATATTGGTGGCCCCTTCCCATCCCTTCATTGGAAATAACCGAAAGGGTAGTTTGAAGTTTTAAACGATTGGACGACTGGAATAAAATTAAAGTGGATCGTAAGGAAGATAAAATACGACGAAAAAGAAGAAGAAAAAGTAGAAGAAGAAAAAGAAGAAGATATAATAATAATAATAATAATAATAATAATAATAATAATAATAATAATAGTGATCAAATAAAATAAGAGAGGCATCATCGTTGTCATAGGTGTGTGTTAGGTCTTTTAAAGAGGGCATGATAAGCAAGGACGCGACCTTGAGAAGAGAATCAGGTGCCGATGAATGCAGTGAACTCGAAAGAATAGTTGTCAGAGAAAGAAACAAGATTCGTCGAATTAATCGTTCGGTTTCACGTATAATTTTTATGACGGAATGACGAGACCTTCTTCATCATCATCGTCATCGTCATCGTCATCGTTATCGTCATCGTCATCGTCACCATCATCGTCACCGTCGTCGTCGTTGTCGTCATCGTCACCGTCACCGCCGCGTTATAATTTTATTCATGCATTTGATATGTGGCCGAGAAAATATAAAAACATTTCAATTAAGTGACTTAACGTTGCCACGATTAATTCTCAAATCAACGGGAAATCAAAGAAAATTGATTTAATTTTATTATACCGACGTTGTGGAAAAAGAAGAAGAAGAAGAAGAAGAAAAAAGAAAAAAGAAAAAGAAGAAGAAGAAAGAAAGAAAGAAAGAAAAAAAGAATCAAATTTTCTTCCATATATTTTGACAAAAATTCATTTTGACGATTTCAATTGGATTCTTTTTTTTTTTTGTCATAATCGAATATAAACGAAAAAAGAAAAGAACTAAATAATTAACAATCCTGGCCTTAATCGCAAAATCACGATTTGCTAATAAATAATTCGAAAGGTTTAAAAAGAAGTACTTAATTAAATTAATTGAAAAACTCAGAGAGACACAACACACACAAACGACGAGTAGTGGTTGGCCTAATAAATCCTATACGATAAACAAAAAAAAGCCAACTACTATTGTCCAAATCGAGTGAACGAGATCAACGGAAAAGAGGATTATTAATTAATTAATTAATTAATTAATTAATTAATTGTGTGAAAAAACAAGAAGAAGAAACAAACAAAAAGAAGGGTCTCAGGTGCGACCCAAAATTTCTTCGCAAAAAGAGATCTCGATCTTTTTTTTTTTATTCATTTCCATAATATTCTACTCTTT